TGCCAGCAAAAGTATGCAGGAGAGCAAACCACAAGAGAAACACAACAGCAACATTAGTTGTGATATACGATATGAGTCTCCGTTTATGAAACATCTTTAATAAACACCAGGAAGCTACATAATGTGATCACTGGTGCCATTTGGATTTTATTTACGCCAAATGCATCGGCATGCAGGAAAAGTGGCGCTCGGTTTGTGCTTCAGAGCTCCCTGTTGGGATGTCAGCACAGCTGCAACAGGTTAAGGAACGGACCCATTAAAGCCTGGCACATCTTCAGCTTGGTGCTGGATGCTAAATAATTTAAAGGCAGGGGACGGAAACGAGAAATGCACGCTGCTAACGATGCAAGCAATAAAAATAAATGCGAGGCTAAATCATGCCAGGGCTGAGCTGCAGAATTCTTTGGCCTGGTCGTCGCTCTGCCCAGTCTGTGCTCTGCCATTTCTCTCTTACGTGTGTCTCTACAGTAGGGACATGCTGATACTGGGAAGCCAGTGGACTTCCTGTTTCCAGTCCAGTGACAGGAAGGGAGTCAAGTTCTTTTTCTTCCTTGTGGACTTCAGTTGCCAAGATAGACTATCAAGCTGTTTGCACAAAGTTACTGTGTGATTTGTGCAAATCGTACTTGAATGGCATCATTTCCAGCTTCCAGTTTGCACAAGAAGTGCCCACAGTGTGATTTGTGCAATTTTCCTTAGGGGGTTTGTTGTTTCATATATATTCATACAAACACATCTCTCAGCAAGCTGAGGCCCATCTTAGAGACAAAATCCATGAGTTGTTTCACAAAAGCCAGCACTAGCGCAGGCAGCTGGAAACTTGTGCCCTGAGTCCTGACAAACCGTTGGATTTCCACCCCCATATTGAATTCCTCGTACATCCCTACAGACAACTGGGAATCTGGATTTATCCTAAGGAGCTCCATGTCATGTTTTCCATCACTGCCACATAAACGTCTTGCTACCTGCCTAGCTGTGTGAAGAATTAACTTCAATTCAGTTCTGATCTGAATTTACTGTATCTGCACCTTGAAGACTGAAGGGCTGTAACTGAGGTGTATACGTTTTGGAGCTTGCAAGGAGATTCACAGGTATCCAAAAATGCATTTGACAGAATATGCACATCAGGAAAATGTGCATGAAAAGCAGAGTTCTTTTGAAACAGTGCACAAAAGGTTCAGCCAATTTCTTGCAAAAAATATACATCTTAAAGATGGGAACTTTTCAACCAGAGCCGGCAATCACGTTGACCTGGGGTCAAGAAATGTGGGTTCTCATCCCCACTTGGAATGAGCTGCTTACTGGGGGACACTGGGCCAATTGCTGCTGCACTATCTTGGGTTGCTCGCAGAAGAAAAGGCAGGATATAAAAAATAAAGAAAACATGGAACAAGCAAGCAAACAGAAACACTTAAAATATAGCATCATTGATGGGTGTGCAAATGTTTTCCTGGCACTGTTTCTGTACATGCTTTTTGCTCTCCCCGAATAATTTCTCCCCAGGTTCTTTTTCATGAGTATGGCTTTCTTTCCAAGCCTTGCAGCCCCACTAGTGACATGGTGAGAAAAACCAAACATTTTGCTTTAAAACCAGAATGTTGTCCCAAATTGATAACAAGCCAAGCTTGGAAACTTCAAATGCTACTTGACAGACGAGCTTAATTAGCTATTCTGATACAAAGTCATAATATTTGTGGTTAATATTCATTCTAAAACACCCGGGTGCCTGTGATAATATTTGTATGTTAATCCTGTTACGAGGCGGGTTTCAGTCCCAAAACCTCTCCAAATAGAATGAGCGATACATTTCGAAATTCTGATAAAAGTGACGCTTATCATCCTGGCTGTTTGTCATTGGCATGAGCGTCTCTTTAATCCATGAAATTACACCTGTCACAGCGAGTTAGCTTTATTAACACTGTTTCCCGATCCACAGAAAACCATTAGAACACACAAAAGCATGGAATCTCCAGTTAATTAACATTGCCACCTTTGCATTCATGCGATCACATTTCTGATTTTGTTTTAATAGAGCAAGTAATTAAATAGTATGCAAATCTGGGGGAGGAACAGTTTGAAAATAACCGATAAACTCCACAGAGAAGCAAACTGAGTGAACTGCCATTCTGATTTCAACTACAATGCCACAGCTATTTACCAATATTAGCGGGGTAGGAAGATTTTATTTCAGATCATGTTTGATCAGGATTTACCCAGACGGCATCTTTCTGAGCCTAGCTGCACTTAGACACCAGCTGATGCTTGAAGTCCATACATTGCAGAACTTGCAACAGATTTGTGGGCCAAAATACTGTGTTCGGCAACACACGTCCCTTTGCAAAATGCATGGAGAAAATGCTTACTTCAAACAATACACACAAACACCCAGGGCAGAGCAATCCCATGGCTGCTGGACAGTCCCTTGATGACCAAAGGATTCTCCACTTTTTGAACGACAAATTTGGAAAATTGCTTTGGCCCTGTTTCTGGGGATGGGTGCTCAAATCCCCTTCCCAACTTCACAAGCATCCTGATAGGTGTGCACACTTCCTTCAATGAGAGAAGAACAACTGATGTGCACATTTTGGGAAAAAACATAGAAAAACAGAGGTGAGCAAGCCTAGCTGCACATGTCCAAGCTCCTCAGGGTCTTGAAGCAGGTGCCCTACAGAGCAATAACTGACTGAGTTCAGACATCACAATAACCCACACTCAACTCTTGAGTTCTCATTGAACCACGGGCTGTTGCTATCTGAACTCAACGATTTGTTAACCAACAACCTTTGGGGGTCTTTTGCAGGGTTGCAAACCATCAGTTGTTCACCAACCATCACTTTGCTATCTCAGCTGGATGTTCATAATAACCAACATTTCAACCACTCATGGTGCATGGGCAACCCACACTCAACCTTTAATGGCGGGTTATTGTAGTGTCCGAACCCAGTCATCAGCTCCCTTCTTGAGGTGCTACCAGAACTAATAACTGAAGGATGTAGTCAGTTTGAGCTGAAACATTAGTAGTGTACCCCAGAATACTCCTGGGCCCTGAGCACCTTATGGTCTTGGGAGAACCACTCCTATGGCGATATTTGCACTGAAGATCCAGATCTTCTGTACTCTTCCATTGTGGACAATTCTTCAGTCTGCATACATGAAACTGAGTCCTTGCAAGAGGACAGTTCCATCGCAGCAGCAGAACATGGATAAAATGGGGTAAGCTCTCCAAAACAAGAGAGAATCAGAGTATGCTCTACAGTGATAACAAACAAGCCACAATAACAGCTATCTTCCGAAATGCTGATTGTTTTAAGGTTCATTGTCCTACATTAGTCATTACCTTGCAGGGTTTTGTTTTTTTTTAAGGGAAAAAGTTGTAGGTCCCTGAATGTGGATTAAAGCAATCACTAACAAGGATGGAAGATTGAAGCCTGGAAAGCATTTTTGTTTAATTCCCCATGGAAAGTTCAGGATACAAACTGAGGATAGTAATTAGCAAGACGCTCATCTTTAAGCCTCTCCATTAATTTGAAGAGGCTGAACAAGAGGCTTGGCCAAAATTCAAAGCTGCTTCTCTCTCTCTCTCATGATCTCTTTCTTTCCTTTTACATACATTCCTCTTTCCTTTCCCATTTCCTTTAGGCTATCAAAACAGCAAAGGATAACAACAACAAGAAACCCCCTTTGATTTCTAGCATGAGTCTCAGAATCTCTTTCCTTACCCATCTCCCTTTTCCACAGGCCCATTCTGCTGAGTATTTTTAGAAAGCATGAATACAAAATGTTATTAAGGTAAAGAGCTGCACTGGAGAAAAAGGACAGGAGGGACACAAAATGATATCTCTGGCACAGAGAACTCAAAGCAGCAGATCTTCCTATCTTGCTGAGACAACCGTTTCTATATGAACTTGTCTGCCGGACAGTGTTGCGTACTTCACAAGGGATGAGAGGATACCTTCTGCTCTGGAAGCCCTGGAGTCAGCCACCTGGCAACTTTGTGGGATGCGGCAGAAGCCCAGCAACGTGGGCTTGCCTCTGCTGTCCCCTGCCCTGACCTGCCCTACTCCTCAGGCAATCTCCTGGGCCCCCCCCCCCCCCCCCCCCCCCCCCCCAGGCAAATCCCCCCCCCCCCCCCCCCCATTGCCTGGCATTCTAAGCAATACCACACAACAAGGTCTACCTGGCCTTTCAATTTTCCACAATGGACCAGGCCTAGTATTGACCTAGGTGATTGTGGGCAATCAGAACGGTTAGCACGACCCACACAACTACCACTGCTGAAAATGCTGTGACCCCAGGCAAGTAGGTTGCCAGAGAAGAAGTCCCACCAGAGGACCTGTAGCTCTATGGAGAACCCAGGTCCTGCTTTACAGAAACTGTCCGTGTGGACTCCCCCTTGTGGGCACATGTAGTTGCGCAAGATTGGTGGCAAAGGAAAAGCTCCCTTTCAGGGAAGTATCTTAGCAGTTATATCCTGGAGGAGACTCTGCTAGGCTTCTGACCAAACCTGGAGACCAGCAGTTCACTCAATGCCAAGTTGGACCATTTTCCAGAGGTGGTTGAACCCCGGCTCACACTAGAGGGGAGATTTTCACACTGGGCCGCTTCTGTTTCCAAATCCTACAGGTCCAGATCCTCCTACATTTAAAGACCCATTTCACGGGACTGGGCTTCTTTCCAGTCCATGTCCTCCAGATGCATTAGACTTCCATTCCTACCTGCTCTGTCCAGTGTGGCACATGGTCAGGAGCAGCTCAAGTTGTCATCCCAACCCATGGGAAAGTGACAGGTCGGAGAACATTCTCCTATGAATCACATGAGCCCGGTGAACTTCCCAAACTTCACCGCACATACAACATCACAAGAGAAAGAGCAATCATGATGGATGAAGCTAATTTCCAGAGATGCTTGTCGACGTAACTCACCTTCCCAGGGGCAGCTCATTGATTCACTTGCCCAGAGTTTGAAAATAGCTAATAGAAAGCAGCTCGCCATACACCTACCTCTTTCCCAAGGGAGTCGATTTTCTGCGACAAAATATGACAGCCGGGGCGTATTTCCCAATATAATCCACGCTCTTCTGGACATCCCATGTGTGTGGGTTGCTGGCTCTGATGCTGAAAACGTTCACACCTTTCTTGACCTTTGCCCTGGGAGAAACAAGAGGCCATGTTAACATTTAGGCAGGGGCTGCCATCTCTGGAGCCTCCATCAATCTTACTTATCGTTAGTCCTTCAACAAAGCAGCAACTCAGGAGATATAGCTTATGTCACGCAGAAAGGAGGTTATAAGAAAAAGGACTGAGGTTATGAGATGCCCGTACATTTTCCACTAATCCCACACCGGGGGAGCCCAAAGGCTGATTGCCGGAATCTCATCTTGACTTCTTTCAGCCTCAGGGCATCAGTGCCTCGAGGCGTGTGAGATGGAGGACAGTGGAAGGAGGTTTTTGAGGATGCTGTGATTCCTAACAGCGTAGAACAAGCTCAGATGTGCTAAGGCTGCTCGAGACCTGCAGTTGGAGAAGGATGAAGGAAATTTCCAGTGTTTTGTGGATGCAAACGGTGAGTGGTCCACAGACTTGGGGGTTGGGGGTCGCCTACAGTTGAGCTGCTCACTTGAACAGTCCCCACATCTGTCACCATCCCTGAATTTGGTGGCAGGGATTAAAAAGAAAGGAGCAGTTGTGTTGACTGTGCTTCTGCGATTGGAAATTCACCAACGGAATGTAGGCACCTTCAAAATCATGGCCTTTCAAAGCTGTCATGAATGTTCTCTCAGGTGATTATGCCTAGCAAGCCTGTGAGAGAGGACATACATGCTGTTACAATAAATATATGTCTCGGTGTGAAATAGACCTAGCAGGTAGAGAGAGCAAAGCTGAAGGTGCCACAGCAAGCTCCGCGGAAGAAAGGTGGATTCTGCTGAAACACATGAGCAGCAGTCCGCGGAACATGGACGGTTCGTTGGGTCACTAAAAGTAATGGCATGTAAACGGTTTCAGCAACTTTGCATTTAAAACAAAGCCAAACGAGTTAAAGGAAGTGCATACCATTTTACAAGTGCCTTCAATTTTCTTTGCAAGTATTCCTGTACAATATCTACATCATATACTATGTAAATCACATGAAGCATGTTTTGATTTCCCCCCCAAATACTTCAAGTCATAAGACCGGAGGCGTATTGCTCCCCGTAAAAATGCACTTAAAAATAGGACTCACAAATACCACAATCCTGCTAAATTAGACCACAAAGACATAAGGCATTTTCTGAAAACATCCCCGTACAAATGGCACCACCTGATCTACCTAATTTGCATAGCACATTCTTTGAGAGAATGTGCCCATTCACAACTCTCCAGAAAACCCAGCTCACGACAGGTTACGCAGAGTCCAAATTAAGTCTGAGAGGTTTTGCAAGTGACAAATCTTGAAGAGATGTCACTATTACAAGGGAAGTCACAGTTGGCAGCATCCCGAGAGAGCTGCACACCCAAATAGTGGGAGCAGAGCCAAGCCAGCCTAACAAAGGACGCGGGATCCCTTTCCCAACCCATTTGGATTAGAAGACTTGCCTATAGCTTGTTCGTCGGCTCGCTGGCCTGCGGCTTCCACCATTCAGCTGTTGTCGCTGCTTGTCTTGAACAATTATCATACACGGAAGAATGAACTATTCAGCATTGGACATCTCAATGCCCAGAAGCAGCCGGATGGGTTTTTCAACACAACTTCCTCATTTATTTGTAGCATTTTTACTGCATATTTACAAAAGCTCATAGCATACTTTAAATGTCTTAAAGTAGCTTTCATATATCCCTTAACTTGCATAGCAGTGCAAATCAGTAATTGTTCTTTACATTCAAAACAATGCCTAGGTAAGTCGGCTTTACAGCATCGCCTCAACAATGGGTCAGAGCTATATATGTTTCCGGAGGAAGGACTTTGGACAATCTTGGGCCACCACTGGACAGGCATAACCTGGGAAAAGCTGCCCACTGCAGAATGCACAGGTTGGATTCTTGAGAAATTGAACTCATTTGAGTTTGGGGGTTTTATGTGTCCGGATGGAAAAGAACAGAAGTGAAGTCTAACAGACAAGGCATTAGATCACCAAGGAGGATCTACGCATCTCAAGAGGAAGAGCTCATCTCCATGGGATTGCCCTGCTTACAGAAAAAGCCCATGTGATGGAACAACCCCCCATTCATTCACATTCAGTCAAGGAGAAATGGGCGGAAGGGACAGCGTGAGAAAGCAACCCTTACCACGTGGGGGGCTGATACCGAGGCCCAGCGCGGAACAGAGCTTGGCTCCAGTCCTGGAAGAATCCCAACTTTGTCCTTGGGCTGTCCATCCACCCACTAGCAATGATGTTATCACCCATATCTCTACAAAGTGTAAGTCAGAAGTCATCACAGCAATTCCAGCCAAAGCTATTTTCAGCAGGATTAAACAGCATGCAGCAGATCCAACACTGTCAATTCTTTGCTTTAAAGTTGCTTCACTTGAGGTTGCAATGTGCCATGAATTTTGTCAGAGCTGCATCAAGTCATGCCCGAACTTGCCTGTTTTGCTCCTAAGAATTCAGATGGATCATTTCGAAAAAGTCAAGCTATTAGAACATTTATAGTCTTGGGCAAAAAAGCCGTCTCTTTCTGGTGCTTGTTGATTCCACAAGTATTCCTGCCCAGTTCTGTTTATGTCATGTTTTGTTGAGTTCGTTAAAAGCTTCATATTTAACTTCCTATTTAAGTATTTACCTTTGAAGGTATTTGTCACCAAGTACCCATTTCTAAACAAATTCTCTATGTGTACATCTCTATATACATTCTATTTCAAAGCATTTATTTTAATACATTGCCAGTTACACTTTTGGAGCCACGAATGGTATTGCAGCATTTGGAGGTCTGGAAAATCCAAAGGATTACTACTTTCCAGTCCCTGCAGATCAAGTCAGCTAGTATTCAAGTTGACAAAGAAGAAATTCATCGAGTACCAAAGAGTGCCAGTTCATGTAAGCCTAAGTTCAGAAGAGAACAGATCAAAAGAAAATCAGATTTTGGAGTGGGTACTTCTTCTTCCTTTCTGCTCCTTTTATTGCGCCACAAGTTTGGCCTTCCTGAGCATTTGGTGATTTCTGGTTAGAGCAAGAAAGTCTGTGATGAATTCTAGAATGAAGGCTAATGCAATTTTCCTCAGACTGCAGTTCCTTGGAAACTCTGTGGCCATTTCGCATTATCAATGGGCGCCTGTGCCCTGTCAGCACACTGCAGAGACCAAGTCTGGGGTGCTTTCATTGCCATCGCATCGAGATTTTCTTTGTGTGTGTGTGTTCGCGTGCACGACAAGTGTGCATCTTTGAAGTGGCTTGACAATGCACAGAATAGAGGGGGAGAGTCAGAAATGACCCGAAGGAACCACAGGTATGACAAACTGAGCACCGTGTGATGTGAAAAAGACAGCAAAGGAGGCCTAATTGGCAGCTCTCGGAAGGAGATGAGCCAGGAGAAGGAGCCTGTTTGGGAAGACACCCAAATCAGGAAGAAAGCCCAAACAGGAAGCATTTTGCAGTTTAATTGAAAGCATTTTATGTTTTTAATCCACCATTTTTCCTGGCACAAAGAGCCCCAGATGGCTCCCCTCCCTCCCTCCTCTCCATTTCATCAGGCTAAAAGTCAAAGACTGCCCCAGAGTCCCCCAGGGAGCTGGGACTCCCAGGTCCTGGTCCAGCCTTCTAAGCACTACAGCATGTTGGATCTCAGACTCTCTCCGTGCCAGAGGAGTCATCGATCATCAGTCTATTTCTATCAAAGAGAAAGAATTCACATGGTCACAAACAGCATGTGCGTGCACGCACACACACACACACACACACAGAGGCGCAGGCACCTCAATTTGTTTGCCTGACACATTCACAATATCTGAAATCTGACTTTGCACCTTTCTAACCCAAGACCACTGTGCATGCCATCTCGCATCCCTTCTGCCTTCAGCACAAGCCTCTTCCCTCTTCAGAAGACGTATTTTCTGTCCCACTAAGTGATCTTTAAAAATAATTAAATCTTGACCTGAAATGTTGCTGTATTTGAAAGTGCAGGAAATCAGCAAACATCAAGAATTTAAGCATTAATCCAACAGAGGAGAAGCCATGCAGCAGCACGAAAAGGGTGGGTGGAAACCTTGGAGGAAGATATGGGGAGGGGAAGTACGGATGAGTGGAGAAGAAATCACAGCCCTACCAAGACTCTGCAGCATGAGATTCCTGTCAGGTACATATTTTCTGGTCTGCCTAGTTCACATTTCCCCCGGGACGTTTCTGCACAAGCTCAGAAGTCCCTTTCTATTCATCACGAGGGGAAACTTTCTGCAGGCATGGCAGGGAAAGCTAGATAACCTCACACATATGTCAGGGAAGGGGCACCTCACGGCTCCAGCAGCAAATCAGATTCACAACTGAACAGAACAGGATTGGATGAGGAGGAAATTGTATTTGCAGCAGATGCAAACCTTTGCAAATACTTAACCCAAAGTAGCAGGGGTATCTTGTGTGCTACTGCGGAAGACACCAAGCGAGAAAGTCTGGTGCCTTCTAGACATTGTTGGACTACAGAGCTCAGAAGCCCCAGTCACTGCACATCAGAGCTACAGCCAAAAAGAGCTAGAGGTGCCTATTCATTGTATAGAGGAATGTGAGGCTGCAGGAGAACTCAGGAAGAGCTGCACTGGATGCAGAGTTCACCCACCCCAATTTCTGCCCAGGCAGCAGCCACGGAGGTGCCCTACAGAAACGCACAGGCAGGCCCTGAGCAGACCAGCCCCCTGCCATCCATGTCCTACAGTAACCAGTGTACATAAGCATATGACCTCCCTTACTGGAAGGACGCTGTCGCCAGTGGAATGACTAGCCACTGATAACTCACCTGTCAGGGATCCGCTGAGCCCATTCAAGAGCGATCTGAGTTGGGAGCCATCACTGCACTGGGCAAGGTGAACTCCTCAGAGAGGAGTGTGGGGGGGGGAGCATGTCTTGTGACATTAGCTGCCCTTTTTTAAAAATTTGGGGGGTGGGGCTATGCTTTTGGCCCACATGTTTCCTGCGGTGCAAAGTACTTAGACAACTGATGTCGGCCACTGAAGTCTTTTGCCCTGG